CTGCCTCTTTAATGACCAGCCACTGCTGGTCACTACGGCTGGAAATGACTGCAGCATCCAACTGCTCCTCTTACTGGGCTACCTTTCTAGGTATCTATCCATCCCGAAGTTCTTCAAAAGCCACTCCTTTCCTTGCCCAGGGCCTAGTACAGCACAGACACACAGTATATTCACAATATATGTTTTTGAGGATGAACTCAATAAAAAAGAAAGTATATTGTGAAGGGATAATCTGGAGACTACTGAGATATTAGCTGACTGTCCCTAAACTGTCCCACACTAGTCAGCAGTTATAACTAATTAATCTTCCATTTCCTTAAACATTGTTAGATGTTATTTCACAAGTGTTTCAGCCCCTAGTAGCCCTTTTCTACTACTAATAAGACATTGAATTTTTATAATATAATTACCAACTGCAAAGGGCTTTGAGCCAGGATACTTGCAATGGAACATGCCTTAGCACAATGCAGCCAACATGCTGGGAAACAAACAAAATGCTGTAAGCACACAGAATAGGTTATGTCCCTACTGATTTGCTGATTCAACAAAAAATTTGTTGATAATCAGGCTAACCAGAGTACTAGTGACACAGCAAGAGCAAAATAAATGCAGGCACAAGAAAAATCTTTGTTTTCATGGAGCTCACTTTCCAATTTTATTTGAGAAATATAAGTAAGAGAAAGAATAGGTAATATGAAAAGTAGAGATGAGTATTCAGACAAAAAATAAAGCGTGATAAAAGGACAGAGGGTGGGAGGGAAGGCAGAGCAGCTCTTTCTAAGAAGCAGACCTTTGAGCAGAAAGAAGCTTGATAGACATACGGTCAGGACATAAGCCTACAGAGATCTGAGGGGAGATATTCAAGGGCAAAGGCCTCGGAGGCAGGAGGGGGTGGGCAGGTTCCAAGTTAGCAAGGACACCAGCGTGGCTGAACTAGAAGGAGTGGTGCGACAGGGTTAACAGACACCCTCTGTACTCGACAAAAAATAGACACACACAATCCCCGAAAAGGGCAGTGAAGGCATCACTTATGAAAATCTCATCTTCACCAGTACTTAACTTATGAGAAAACTAGGTTTCTTAGGTTAAATGATAATGTAAAAACCTGCAGGTGAGGGCCAGGCTGAGAATGAATGTTCACAGGCTGATGAAGGAGGACGCACCAATGGACCCCAGAGGAAGAGGCTGCCTGTCTGGCCAGGGCCCACAGAAAGGCCCACTCTGAGCAGATGTCCCAGGGACCTGTCAGAGTGGTGGCACCAGAGAAAAGGAGGAGGGCCTGTCCTGACAATGGCATCGTCATTTACAACTAACAGTAAGAGCTCTGAAAAAACTACAGCAACAGAAACAGACAAAAAGACAGAAAAGGAAAAACATCCAGTTCTAGCCACCAAAATGACTTCTATTTCATAATTAAAAAGCATCACAAACAGCCTCCAAAACATAAGTTTGGGGTCCATACACTCTAACTGCTTCTGATGCTAGGACCCCACTTAACCTGCACCACTGGTGGAGTCCCGAGGTCTCAACCATTACAGTAACGCTAAGAGCTGACACATGGTCACACTCAGTGCGCTGCTTTCAGCTCTGTCCTGCCAACGCCGTCTTCTTAGGGTCCCCTCTATTAATGTCCTGAGAAAAATACCTTTATCTTACTTTATTCCTTTCCCACTCACTTCCTTGAGATCAAGGAGCAGGTCTAGTAATTATAGACAAGGCTTTACTTTTGGAAGACAATTCGAGTGGATCAAACCAATATAGACTGAAAATGTCAAATCATAAGTCCATGCATGACTTAATCTTTACTTTAAATATATAAATGCTGAGAGGAGTTAAGGAAGGAATCCTGTAAAAAGGGCAATTTTAACCCGACTGAAGATTAACAATCTCAGAGAATTAATATTTTATCAAGAAATCCAAACTGCACTATTGACTTGAAAGTCAATTTTCATCATTATTCCTTCAAATTCTGGGAGTTTAGGAAGTTAATTTAAAATTCAGTTTATAGAGGAGAATCGAAGATGTTCTCGATAATCACTTGCTTTCAATATTAACGAAATGATTTCACAGTCTCACTTCACAGTAAGCTAGTATAGAATTGCCCTCGGTGGCCAAGAGAACCAGATTCCTCTTGCTGTTCACCTGCGAGTGCAGCACTGGCGTGCCGAGGTTAACGTGAAAGTTTATACCAGCCGTGGGCAAACTACGGCCCGCGGGCCGGATCCGGCCCATTTGAAATGAATAAAACTAAAAAAAAATAAAAGACCGTACCCTTTTATGTAATGATGTTTACTTTGAATTTATATTAGTTCACACAAACACTCCATCCATGCTTTTGTTCCGGCCCTCCGGTCCAGTTTAAGAACCCATTGTGGCCCTCGAGTCAAAAAGTTTGCCCACCCCTGGTTTATACTGAGACTGCTGACGCTCAGGTGAGAGCATCCGGTTCCCACATGCCAATGTTCCTCCTTAAATTATAAGCTGATCTGTAACGCTGCACTATAGTTACAGTAGATGAAACACTGCAAGAGTAGTTTGCTTTCACATGGAAACAGTTACCAAGACAAACCTTGGAGGATGGAGTTCCAAGAATATTAAATCATAAGAAATTGTTTCAGCAGCTGGTTAAAGCTGAGTGTACATAACACAAGACATCTGGTTGTCTGTGCATTTTCAGTTCATTTAAAAAGTATAAACACATTAAAACACTGAAATGTTTGATATATTACAACACTGTCTGCTTGCTCCCCAAGAGTGTTTAAGTGGCTGGTCTAGTCATTGTACTCAAGGCTTATTTACTAGCTAAAGGGATTTACTATTTCCATCCCCCTTAACTTCAAGATATATTATCAACCAAGGAAAAAAGGAAGATATTGCTGTTATTTGTAAGGACATAATGTAATAGAGGTAGTGCTATTTCTAAAATTAAATCAGGAACACATGAAGCATCACACATACTGTGACAAGTAAACAGCAGACAACGTGCTCTCCCTCCCACATCTGACCATATGTAACAGAAACCTAACCACAGTGGCTTAACCAAAATAAGGGTTTATTTGCTTCACGTAAGAAGAAATCCAAAGATAAGCGATCTAGGGTTGGTGTAATAGTTCCAGAGTATCATCCATACCCCATGCTCCCGGGACACTGTTCTTTGCATGCTGCAGTCATCATGATACTTTTAAGATGCCTAAATGGCACCTCCACATTCCAGGATGGAAGAGAAGAAGGACAAAGAGCAACAAGCTAAAGGTAAGTGCTCTACAAGCTTCCGACTTCTGCTCACATAAAACTGGCCCAGACTATCACAGGGCCACATTTCAGCACATTCAATTCCCAAGGTGCCTGAACACTAAGCTGGGCATACACTGTCCCCCCAAACAATACTAGAGATCTGTTAGAAAGGAGGGTGAGGGCTCTAACCGGTTTGGCTCAATGGATAGAGCGTCAGCCTGAGGACTCAAGGGTCCCAGGTTCGATTCCGGTCAAGGGCATGTACCTGGGTTGTGGACACATCCCCAGTAGGAGGTGTGCAGGAGGCAGCTGGTCGATGTTTCTCTCTCATTGATGTTTCTAACTCTCTATCCTTCTCCCTTCCTCTCTGTAAAAAATCAATAAAATATATTTTTAAAAAACCCAAATAAAAATCATCATTCTCCCCTTAAAAAAAGAAAGAAAGAAAGGAGGGTGAGGAAAGGATATAAGGACACATGCTAATCGCTGTGTCCGTCGCAAGAGCTCATCGTGCATGGGCCCTGCCTTCCAAGCTATACAAGCTCTAAACCACAACAGGGTTTGGCGGATCCCGTTTCTAAATCTACATTACAATTCTGGATGCTGCACTTATGCACAACAATAGCCAGGAGCCCATTTTCCACAAATACCTGTCTTTCCTTTTTGGACTATAGGCAAATAGCACATTTCCAACGATATCCCCATGTAGATTGAGATTCTATGATGATGAATCTTAAAATCTACTTCTTTATTTAAGACATAATTTCTTTAAAATATGCATTTTCAATGGAGATGATATGACCCCCCCCCCCCCGAGAATAAAAATTAGTTCTTTAAAGTGAAAAACGTCACAGATATTATAATGATTCATGGTGCTCCAAGGGGGGAGGGGCAATTAAGAAAAAGAAGTCTAAAAGGGTTCCTCAAAGAGACAATTTTTTAAAAAGGTTGACAGTAACTGCTCTAAAAATAACAAACATTTTGAATCATGCTGGAATGGCATTCAGTTGCAGTGACAGAAATCCATTACCATAAACAAATAAGGGTCTATGTTTCTCGCATGAGAAGTCCAGAGGGCGACAGGGGGTGGGGGGACTAGAAGTTGATGACTTTGGTTCAGCAGCTCAATGGCATCAAAGCAGAATTTTCGGTGAGTCTCTTGGCTCATGGCGCCAAGATGGCCACATAATTCAAAGGACCATGTTCACATTCCAGACAGCAGGAAAGAGGGCTGTCAAGAACAGAAAGATAGGACTCCTGGGGGAGCCAGGTCCCCTTAAAGAGCTTTACTCATACTTTCATGGAGAAATTCCCCCTATATCTCAATGACCACATCTACCTTCTAGAAAAGATAGACATGAAAATCCAAAACTGGCCATTAATCAAAGCAGGACATAAGAAAGAAGGGGAGAGCACATAATGGGTGAACAACTAGCTGCACCTACCACATATGAATTTGTTTCTAATTGCTTTTCTCTTAAACCCTTGTTAACAGAGATTTGTAAGTTCATTTATTACAGAGATTAATCTAATTCTGTGCCTACCATATGCTTAGTATTGTTAACAACTTAAAATTGTTTTGATGATGGATAGTCAGAGTTTAAATATTACTGGGCAAGAGAGATAAAAGAACTCCATGAATGTACTACCCTTAAAAGGCATGCATAAAAGTACTACACTAGGACCCACAAACTCTTCAACATCATCAATTACCATCTTCACGATACAAAGAAGATAAAACAAACCCTGATGTAGCCAGAACTTACATGAGTGGAATATCAGTGATTAACTGCATCAAACAGCAGACTAATTCTTCCAAAAGATCTTCTGAGTCAGAACCTGATAAGATACACAAAAAGTTTGTTAACAAAGTATAAAATAGAATGGAATTGTTTAGAAGTTCAGTTTTCATTCCTAAAGAGAATAAGAATAATTATTACATAAACTCAGATATTAATGCTGACCTCTGAATAAAATCCAAATCCTAAGTTAGCATCTATTATGATTTTCATCTACAGAGGAATTTTGAACACCAGCTATCAATTATACAGTTTTTAACATTTGAAGGTAACTATGACTCCTGTAGGCCAGTAGTGTTCAAACTTCTTATAGTGCACTATGTTTTTTCAAATGAAATCTTACATACTGAGCCAAATATGTAAAATACATGAAAGCCCTGACCAGTTTGGCTCAGTGGATAGAGCGTCGGCCTGTGGACTGAAGAGCCCCAGGTTCGATTCTGGTCAAGGGCATGTACCTTGGTTGCGGGCACATCCCCAGTAGGGGGTATGCAGGAGGCAGCTGATGGATGTTTCTAACTCTCTATCCCTCTCCCTTCCTCTCTGTAAAAAATCAATAAAATATATTTAAAAAATAAATAAATATAATAAAATACATGAAGAGGCAAGCTGCTCTAGCTGCTTTGTTTGAATCAGGAGTAGACACCCCTCAGCCCCCTAAATATCTGGCCTTGCCCTTGCTCTTCTTGATAGACCTCAAGAACCTTTTCTGAACCCGTGGGGACTCCACAGATGACAGACTGAAACCGAGTAAGAGGCCAGACACCTACCTCTTCACAGACAAAAAGCCAAAGGTAAAGTGGATTTCCAAGTCCTATGAACAAGTGGCAAAGGCAGGTTACAAATTACCCTCCCAGTGGAAATGCCCCTCTGTCCCATACCGCTCTGAGTGACGTCTGGCTTTGGACAATACTGAGACACCTACTCTTTCTTCCCCAGCTCCTATGACACCCTATTTCTAACCTACCTCTCTCTCTATTCATTCCCAGGACCCACTTCCTCGGAATGCCCTTCAACTACTGGTACGCTCCTCAGAGTGCCACCACTGGCTTTCTTCTCCTCGTCTCGCTCCCCATGATCTCCCTTACTAGTCATCACTTGTATGCTGGCGATTCCTACAGTTTTCCTCTTGTCTCTCCACTGAACTTCATCTTTATATCCAACTGTCTGCTGATCATCTCCACCTAGATCAGCGGTTCTCAACCTGTGGGTCGCGACCCCTTTGACGGTCAAATGATTCTTTCACAGGGGTCGCCTAAGACCATCCTGCATATCCGATATTTACATTACGATTCATAACAGTAGCAACATTACAGTTATGAAGTAGCAACGAAAATAATTTTATGATTGGGTCACAACATGAGGAACTGTATTTAAAGGGCCAGAAGGTTGAGAACCACTGACCTAGATGCATCACCAATACGTTCAAGCTCAATACGTTCAAAACTGAACTCATTTGTCCCAACGCTTCAAATCCACTTCCTTGTTCTTTATTCTCCTTTTCGGTGACTACATCAGTGAACCCAAACCCAAAACACAGACTATTCTCTCTCTTATTCATCTCAAGGTCCTATCAATTACACAGTCACCTCACTGTCATTCACTCGTTTCTTCATTTCCTGTCATGCCTTCGTTCATTATTGCATTATCTCAGTTCAGTTAAACACTTTTTTTAAATTAAAACTCCTGAACTTCTTTAAACCTTCCTACTAGTATTCCTACAAATTTGTTCCTCTCCAATCCAAACTCCAGATTATCAGAGGGACCTAACTATAGTCCATCCTTTCATTCTCCTGCCTTAGACCTTTATAATTGCTTAAGCTGATTACTATGCATCAGAAAGAACTCCAAGCTCCAAAGTACAGCATGCCAGACCTTTGAGATACAGGCCCTGCATCCCTTTCTACCTTTATCTCCCACATTATTCCTTTCACAATTTATACTCCAGCGATACCAAACTACCTGCTACATGCCACTTTATGCCTCCTCAATAACATTCTGTCTGGAATGCCCTCCAACAATAAAAATCTAATTTTTTTAAAAAGCCAATTTTTATCTACCTGAACCATCCTAAATCTTCATTTCCTCCATAAAACCCAACTCTCTTGGCTCCCCTTGAACAAAAATAATCATCTAGGCCGCATCTATGCCTTGTTCATATGTCTTTCATTGCATAATTTGGTTACATTGTATCATAGTTTCTCTCTACATGTAAGCAGGCTTCTATTGGACTCTGTATTTCTCAAGGATGATGACTAAGAGCTTGGCATGTGATGTATACTCAATACATGTTTGCTCAACTGAACCCAGCTGTCTAAGTATAAATCTAATGGTTATTTCCAAAGCATCAAAGCACTTGGAGTCTCGAAAAAATTTAGCAATTCTTTTTTCTAGACCACAATCACCTTAGTAGTCAGGAATTATGCAGAAACCCCTTCCTGCCTTGCCATAAATAGAACTGGCACAGCAACCCTCTGAGAGGTGAGTGCCAAGCTTGAAAGAACATGAAGTCACAATGAACACACCAATCAAGGCTAAGAAGAATGAATACACAGCAAGATCAAGTTCAATAACCACATTAAATCTCACTCTAAAAGAGGTAGGCTTATTAGCTCAACGAGTGAAGAAAGTAAAACAAGGAAATAAGTAGCATTTGTCTCTGAGGCTACACAACAAGTAGATCTAACTAAAATCCTCCTCATTGTCAAAGCTGTCCAACATAACCCACATGAATTAACAACCTATTCCAACAAGCTCATTTGCTGACATATAATATATATTCAATACGTTTGTTAAACCATCATTCCCTGACTCATCCTACAGAATGTATTGATCCAGACCCAAGAAGAACATTTAAAATCTTCACTGATTCCTTAAAGAACATTTCAGACCAAACGAGTTGGACAGTTTAATAACATACCCTTATTTAGCCAAGCAGCCAGCAGTGTTTTAATTACAGAAGGTGAAGAAACAAGCACTCAGGACTCACAGATGGTGCCTGATTGTTCTATATTTCTTCCAGGGGTGTAAACACATCTGATTTTTAAATCTTAAAATGGTGACGAGAACTCTCTATCCAGTTCTATGTGCCATCCAAATCATGACCTCGGCCAAGTTTACAGCTGGGTCAATTAAGGAATATATTCACAGCTTTGTTATCAATTTAACATAATGAAAATGATAAAAAAGAATATTTCATACAAGTAAAATGTAACATATCAAGGCCAAAGCTCTAACAAAACAAAAGACAAAAATAAAGAATTTCCAGCTGAAATCTCTGACAACTTCCGTTTACTTTAAGAAGAAAGTCCTGCAGAACACTATATACTTGTTCTGAGCTAATCTAGAAGCAAATAATTGCATAACAAGTGAAGAATGATGAGATGTGACTGCTTAGCAGGTTTGACATCAAGCAAAAGTCACTCCTACTGCTTTATTTTCGAAGCAGTACTTATATCATTCAGCTTTCATATGAGGATAAATATCTTTCTTATTTCCAATAAAAATAAGTAAACATAAAGTCTCCTGCCAGAAATTATGTAACTCACTCATGCATCTCAAGAAAGATGATCTTAAAAGTCCTTGAAATTTGAAAGACACAGTAAACTGAGGTTCTTTGAGCAAAGGACTTTGCAGAGATTCAGTATGTTTATTGTACTATGAAGTTTACAACCCGGTTTTATCTCTTTAAGAGTTTTAAATTGCCTCTACAGCTGCAGTCAAATATTTTAGTAGTTTAAATCTTAGCTTCTGGATAAAATATTAATAGCTAACATTTGAGAACTCTACCCTTGAAGAGGCACTGTGTTATTTCATTCTCTTTATCCCACATTAATCCTGATAATAACTACTAAGGTGCAGTATGATCATCATCCTTTTACAGATGAAGAATCAAGGCCCACTGATATTAGTTTACTTACAGTAAGGGGCAGAGCCCAGATCTGAACCCAAATCCAGACTCCCAAAAAAAGGAAAAGAAAAAAACAACCAAATGAATTATTTTTTCTATTTTTTATTTTTATTATTGAGAGTATTACAGATGTCCCCCTGTGCCTGTCCCCCGCCACCAATTGCCCTGCTCCACCCACCCTATTGTCCGTGTCCAAGGGCAATGAATATATGCCTATACATTCTTTGGTTAATCTCTTCCTGTCCCCTTTCCCTCTGAGATTCATCAGTCTGTTCCATGTTTCCATTATCTTTAAAGACCTGTTATTATACAAAGTTGGGGGGAAAATCCAGTCAACCATTCCATGTTTCACTGAAGACCCTAAATACAAACCTCCTGGTAAGAGAGTACTATGAACCACACTAGGGAAGAAATCTGAAATACCACATATTAGTTTACACATTCAGGTGATATATTATACATTTACCAACGCATACTGGAAGGCTTTGACTTAAATATCCAATTAGGAAGTAATTTCACACAACGAATAAATATAAACTATTATCATCAGTATTATGCCAACTGAAATCTCACCCCTATCCCTAGGGTTCTCTCAATCTAAAGCCCTAACCCCATGTCTCTGATCTCTATGAGCGTTACCAGAGGAAGAAGCAAAGAAAGACAAGGTGATATTTGTGGTCCTAACAGCTCCAATAATCCATACCTGAAACTAAGCTTCGGTTCTTGTTCTTTCTGTTCGGCACCCTCCGGTACCAAACACTAAGATACCGCACTCTCATTTTGGCCTTAGGGGCTGGACCAGAGCATAGTAGAGTCATGTCATAATCAAACGTCTTCCATCAGAGTGGGAGGGGAGAGAGGGCAAAATGATTTTTAAAAACCACTCACTTGAAGAAGAGAAAAAACAGTGCTGGTGGAAAACAAAGAAGTGGCCAGGAAAAAGAAACACATGGGTTATTTAAATCAGGTTACATGTAATTATTAAAAAATATATTAACAGATAGAGAGTTAATCTTTGTTGTTTTCTTTACATTAGTAAAATCAAGCTGTTATTTCTCAATGCTGCCCAATACCACACTGTGACAAATACAAGCACTAAAAAACTCAATCAAGAAATAACAGAGCGAGAG